ATAATTATACACATATATATATATATATATATATATATATATATATATAAAATCACTGATTGTAAGATAAATGTTTTTTATTTAAAAGTTAGTAAAATTCTTGTCGACTGATCTTCACGTTTGAAACAACCTGTAACAACGATGTAATTCAAACGCTTGGTTAAAAATTTCACAAATCCGTGAATTTCCGTCCCTTTCCGCACGAAATCTCCGCACGAAAACGGCATGCCGTCATTATCCGAACGCGAAACATTGCAACACGCCGAGGAAAAACAGCAAGAGGACGGCTTGCTACATCGATCGGGGTTAATATTAGGGGGGAAGAAGAGAAGGGAAGTGAGATAGCTTACAAATTGCACTCTCAATTTTCGTGAGGAAGCGCCGGCTGGCCGGCGTTGCGAGCTGCAAAGCAGATTTTATCGAGTTAAAGCGGAAACGAAGAAGGGAGCCCGAAAAGAGAAAAAGAAGGAGAAGGTCAAGAGGAGGGAAAGACAGGTCGAAGAGGACCATTAAATCACAGCACCAGCAATTACATCGATCTAGCCGTGTCTGATGATGTTGATTTAAGTTCGAGGAAGGACGACGAGTGGTTTTCAAGTCGTTTTCGAATTTCGCGAAGGGAAATTAAATACGAAGAATTGTACATTTTAGAAGAAATAAAAATTTCTCGACTACTAGTAAAAACTAGAAACAATGACATTTTTACGAATTAGTTGAAGTTTTTGTGTCATAGATTCTTTTTTTTTAATAATTTAAAAGAAATTATTATTATGAATGAGAATGTGTATGAATTACATGGGGACATTTCATACTATTTTTTTATGCAATTGTAGAAGAAACTTTTCATACATTTAAAAATTTAACGATTTTGTCAAGAAATATCAAGGAGAAACTAGAATTTAAATTGATATTAATCCGCGTTATGAGTGACAAAAGAGAAGAGAAAATCCAATTATGCAAGTATACAATTAAAAGGAACAGAGCTAATTAGAATCAATGTCTTACTATATCGCATATTACATTAAGTTGTACCGCATTGCTAAAGCATTAAGTGGCTTCGCGCGGTTATTGCATCTCGCCGTAGTTGCCGGACGATTTTTCACGCGTTCGCATAATTAAACTTTCAATGCGACGGGGTGGCGATCGCGTTTTTGCGGCGGACACTTCGCGCCAACAAAAAGATCGTTAGCGGATTCCGGAAGTGCTATATCGATAGTTTATCGATTCTAATTTACCGGAAAGTCGTTATCTAACAAAACCCAATCGTCTCGGATTTATTTAATAATTATAAAGAAACTTAGCAGTCTACGCTATTTATGCACGAAAGATTAATACTGAAATTCGTAAAAATTATTTTTAATTATAATTCAAGTTAAATGCTCAAATTAAATTAATCCATCCATGTCATATGTACATCCTATATATACATAAAGAATAAATTAAATGTGTACAGTAAAATACTAGTCACACACATTACATTAGAATGAGAGAGAGAGAGAGAAGCATATAAGATAGAAATATAAAAATATATAAAATGGAAAACAGCATATCGAGAAATCATATGAAAAAAATAGAATACAATAAGAAATATTTAAAATATCAAGATATATAATAAAGAATATAATTTATTATGATAAAATAAAATAATTGATCCTTTCTGAACTTGGCGCATATAGTGTAAAAATAGCTGCTTTGACGTACAAGTGAAGTACAAAATAAGATTCGTGAAGCAGTTTCTTAATGACTTCATGCGTTAAACTTCACGCCAGAAACTGAAGGATTTCGTCGTATAATTAGACAAGTTAATTACAGCGAAGTATGTAATAAGCACAGACTTTAAATTAACTCACGACAACTTATACTCGATGTTTTGTAAGTTAGGTCAAAGTCATGTTTAAAGTACGTTTTATTGTTTTATATCATATTTGAAAATACTGATAACATTTTTTTTATACTGTTACACGATAATAAAAACAATGTAACAGAATTAGAAAATATTATATAATTCATTAGCTATTCTTTTCTGGTACATCAGAGAAAAAGAGACAAGAAAGAGTAGAATATTTCATCAATTAAAATTTGCCTTTTGTGTTTCCATAAAATTAAAAATAAAGATTATAAAGGAAGAAGTGTGTATATGTGTGTGCATAAAATCTGTAATGAATACTGCATAATAAATATTAAAAGTAAAAAGTATGTATTGAAATATCAGTTATTAAATGCTTACGGCAAAACTAAAAAAATGAAAGATTAAATTAATTAAAATTTCCCGCTAAATACAATGAAATAAAGTAAAATGCGAGACTACATAGTTTATATAATGAAGATGAAGCAGAAATGCTTGATAAAAATTACTACAAGAAAAGTAATTAAATGCGCGCGGCGGATCTAAGGAATAAATAAAATTCCGGACGTCCCGTTCCGTATCGTACACGCACTTTGACGCATTAAGAACTCGTAAAAGCGTCCATTACTCAGATATTAAACATACTCTTGGCACTTACGCATCTTCTTGCTTATGTATAAGCTAAATTTCGAGCTAATTTTACCTTGGAGTCGCTCGTTTTCGCGAATGGTTTCGCTTAATTGCGCCGCATGTTGCCAGCATTACTTACTTACCGTGATCTGAAATAAAAATGCAAACCGATCATTTTATATACATATAGTAAAATATATATGTTATTATAAATACAAAATTGTTACAATATTGATTATGATTAATTCCTCGAATACCAATTTTCAAAATTTTAATTTTAAAATATTACAATCAATTTTGGGAATAATTAAATTTTATTGAATGTTACATGTATATATTTATTTATTTAGTTATTTATTTATTTATTTATACAACATAGTTTGTATAAAAAATTATTATATTCTTGAATTTATACAACACCAATAATTAATTACAAACTTTCCAACAATTTTTAAATAAAATTTCTTCTTGATGAAAAGTTTACTTGATTGCTATGAATTCCAATAATAAAAAAACTTTCAAAATTACAGAAATATTTTGTTCATATATATATATATATATGAATTATAACGTCTGTATTATCTGTATTCATAAACTATAAAATCTATCGTTTATGAGAACAATTTGATTATTCCGAACTTCTGTTCCGTATTCTGTGTACTATGTATTATTAAAAAAATAAATGCGTAGGCACTTATATCATACAAGTGCACTTTCATCGCGGTGCACTTGGCGTATCGATGCCTTTACGAAGTGAATTTTTGCGCGGCTTTACAGCGCATTTTTAGTAAGAGGTCGGGAGGGTTGTCTTGCATTACATGTCCATAAGTCGGCGGTATATGGCGTCGGATAAAATAAAGTACGATGCACTTTAGTCGATGAAGACGAAACATGAAAAACTCATGATGATGCAACATCGCAATCGGCCGGCATCGAAATCTCATTCTCGATATTCCGATTAAATAATTCTTAAATTATGTGTAACATAATTGTATTATTATTAGGAAAACAGCTGATATTACGTGTGGTTGCTCAATACTATTGGTTAGCTGTGTAAAATTTCAATTTTTTCCATTACAATTTTTCTTCAAAATGTTGTCGTTTCATAAATTAGATTTCAAGTAATAAAAGGCAGACGTTTCTATTATTTCCCATAGAATCGTTTATTCTTTGTGATACTTGCATTTCTTTTGTGGCGCTTATATTATTGTTCCGTTGCGAAATTATTTAAAAAAATTATGGATTGTAGATATTAATTAAGATTACAAAAAATATATACCTTGAGTATATACACAAATCATTCAGTATTCAAAACTCGAAACTACATGAGATGACAGATAGATAAATATAGACTGCAAATGTTCGAAACTTTCTGTAATAAACGATTTTAACGAGACTCGAATTTGTAATACAGAACACAATTAGTAGATTCATTAAACGTACAGTTTTAAATATTAAAGAAAATAAAATCGCAATGGCTCGATGATTACTATAAACGCTTGCGAAGCCACATGATGTCCAACTTTATTCTATACACGTTAGATATTGCAATTGTTCAAAAATAGGTGCCGAGTTGCGTTAGTCAATTTTTACTTCAACAAACAGCCTTGTATTTGTAAACGCGTTGATATTTTCGATATTTTTATAAAGCAAGCAATTGCAAGGGATTGCAAAGTGAGAGAAAAAGAGAAAGGGAGAAAGAAAGAGAAGAGAGGGGGAGAGAGAGAGAGAGAGAAGAGAGAGAGATTCGCGATTTTGATAAAAAGGTTACGCGTCCAATTTAATCGAACCGCGAGATTGCAATCGCGGGTGCACCGAGCTATCGAGTTTCCCGCGAAATATTAAATGCAATGCGTATCGACGATTCGCGTTACAATTGCATTTATTTTTATAGCAGCGCAGAGACACTTCAAATCACAAACATTCTCGATTATATTCGTTAAATATAGAAGAATAAAGACAAACAGAAACAGAGAAAGAAATGGAAAACTTAAAAAAAGGTAATAAAATAGTATCAAATACTTTAACTGAAATATTTTATTGTCCATATTGTCGAAATTTTGTATTTCTGTTTTTCCTTTTTCCTTCTACTTTGCGTGATAAGAAAAAGCTTTTCTTCTCAATTTTTTATATATTTTATTTTTACATATTTTATATATTATTTTTATATATTAGTCCTTTTCTATAAAATGTACTTTTAATCGGAATTGGCAAATGCAATAAAAAATTATTGAAAAAAGAATAAATAAAGTTAAGTATCGTTTAATAAATTATTAAATAAATAAAATTTAATATCATTTTTCGCTATTTTTTTTCTTTATCTTTCTATTTTTTCTTACTTATAATAGCAAAGGTTTCTTCAATTTCACGTATTTGCAATTCAGACACGAGCGTCTTAGATCGCGTTTGGATAAGACGCATGCAAAAAGCAGTATCTATTTGCGTCAGAACGCTCTTGCCAGAGCCGGAGGGCAAGCCTCAAGCAATCCTTCCACCCACATTTGGGCGATGGGATGGTTCTTCTTCACGCGCGTTTACAAGGCGGATCGTATGCAAATCTCTAGTGGCTTAATTACGCGACACGCCTACTATATGAGGTCTCAGATCGCACGTAACGCGAACTGGAAGCCAATATATCTGGCCAACGATAAAAAAATCCTTATTCGTAGAGATCACTGTTCATTTTTTTCGCATAGATGCTGATCGAGAAATAAAGAAATCAAGTGAAGATAAATAATAAAGAACAAATAAATTAGAAATTATAGCGCATTTTTTTAAATGTATTTCGTTTGCATGGATATCGATCTCGTAATATTTTTGAAATCCTGTACTCTATACTCTATAGTATCTTTTTAGATACTAGATAAATAATTAAGCGATACTCAATCATCGCTGGTACGATATAATAATAACTAATAATCAGAGTAAGCCAAATTTCACGTTATTAGTGTTGTTGTGTTATGAAGCACCCGGTATATCATGCTGTCACGTAATGAATGCTTCCAAAGCATCACATGCGAATCTTACATTTATCTTCCTCCTTCCAACCGACTAATCCTTAGTGGATGGCTCGTTCGTTCAAAGAGAATAGCGTTTAGGTTTCCATGGCGCAACAATATTTGCATTTTCATGACGTAACGCCAAAATGTAGAGGAAAAGGCGATAGTGAAACAGAATAACAAATCACGCCCGGATACTCGTTTTTAATCCCTTCGTGCACGATAAACCGTCGAGAAAACGTAGCGAAAATGGGATATTGTGAAGTTTAAATGTAATTTATACATGTTTCCTTGATATAATCCTTACAACATATTATAAATCATTGTGTAATTTGAGTAATTTCATGTGACATTTTTAATTTAAATTGTAAATATAAAGCATGAATAAAGAGAAATTCTCTTTATATTTTTATATGAATTAGTTTTTAAATACTTTTTATAAATAGCTTTTTATAATTAGTAAAACGTTTTTACTAAATAATAATATAAAGTTATATAAATGGAAATCAGTAATATTTTTTTCTCTTTTTAAACAAAAATCAATTTTAAATATTAAATAAATAACTTTATATATCTATCTTTTCATAAATAAATAATCTTTTCATAAATAAATAATATCTATAAATAATAATAATAATATCTATAAATTTATATACAAATTATTTGTATTTGAAGTTTGAAAAGTATTGATTATATGTTGCGGAAATTAAATGTAAATTAATCAGTATGCAATATCAAACCATCGATTATTCTTGAAAAACGATTGCAAGCTCACGCGAATAGAAATTCATTCGCGCGTAAGCGATAAAGTTTTAATCCACGACGAAAATAATGAAACTTTGAGGGAAAAGTACACTTTTCCTTCTAATTTTCTCGCTGGGTGCCAAATCATCGCGCGATAATTCCAATTTTCGTAGTACGAGCAAAAGCTGCGAGCTTATCGAATGCGATTATCTTGTGAATGCGATATCTCTCACCCAGAGATCTCTCGTTTTAAGCCTAAAGAGTCTTTCGAATAATTGTAGGCAATATATAGAAAATAGAGGAAAATTGATTTTCGCGACACGTTACATTTAAATACCGTAACTGTATTTTAAGATTATTCATATATCATTATATATGTAAATTATTGATTATTTTCATATATGTATCGTTACATGTTAATTATTAATCAGTGATAACGAAAATGAATATGTAATCATTATACGTGTATCAGTTTAACATGCAACAAAAAAGCGAATTGTTGCTAATAATATAATAGCAGCTAATTATCATCATCAATAAAATAAAAAATGATAATAAAATAATATAATGCATGATTAACAGGACTATTGCATACGTATTTTATAATAATTATAATTATCACATGTACTTTACGATAATAATTATTGTAAAGTACATATGAGAACATGTGTCCTATTATAAGTTGCAGCTATAGAGAATCAAACTTATGCTAGATAATGCATGTATGTACAATTGATTCAAATTATCCTTTGTTTTGTATAATAAGATGGCATGAGCAGTCTATAATCGATTTAATTTTATATAATTTATTCATAAAAGAAGGTTTAATTAAATAGAAAAAATTATATTTAATCTTTCTAAATCTTTTTTTCTCTGTAAATTTTTTTAATAAATTGCCAAAATTTTTCCATATTTATTATAAAATTGATTCACGCGATCGACTAATCGGAAGATGCATGAATACAAAAGAACTTGCTTAGTCACAATATAGTTAAATATTCTTTTCTTAACAGTTCCTAATAGCATTGGAATTACGGACCTTTGTGAAGTGCACAGCGTAAAGTTATATACCGGGTGCTCCGAAACTGTTCGCTTAATAATCCGGCGGCTTGATCCTTGCCATAATTTCTTGGGCGCGGCTGCGGAGGTCAGATCTTAATCTAATAAATGTACCACGAAGGCGCTACCATTATTTCTCGTAATTATCTGCTGCAACGCAATAATGTTCCTATTGTTGAAAAGAGACTTATCACGGAAAATGTACAACCACGCGCTATAATATCCACTATCTATAACTTAAACTGCAATCAGAAAGATAATGGTAACAATATAAGTATCCATGTCAATACAGTAATAAATACAGTAATAAAAATATTGATGGGTTCACAAAATAATAATAAAATAAT